TTATTTATTTATTATGTATACAATATTCTGTCTGTGTGTATGCCTGCAGGTCAGAAGAGGGCACCAGACCTCATTACAGATGGTTGTGAGCCACCATGTGGTTGCTGGGAATTGAACTCAGGACCTTTGGAAGAGCAGGCAATGCTCTTAACCTCTGAGCCATCTCTCCAGCCCTTGTTAAGTAATCTTGAAATGATTAAACATATACAGAAGTGATAGCTAGATGGCTCAGAGGGTAAGGCACTTGCTGTCAGGTCTGACAACTGAGTTTGATTCCATAGGCCCTCCCATGGTGGAGAGTTGACACCAACAAGTTGTCCTCTGACGTCCATGCACATGATCCTCACACATACTCACAAATGAATAAATGTAAGGAAAAATAAAAATACCCAGAAGAGTGGGTAGCAAAATAGCATATGCCTGGAATCCTAACAACTGGCAGGCAGATGCAGGAAGATTTCAAGGTTGAGGCCAGCCTAAGCTACACAGCAAGTTCCAGCCCAGCCTGGACTACCTAGGGACTCTATCTCAGAAAATGAATAATAAAGTATATGGGATGATAAAAGGTTATGTACATACACAAAGATGATTTTTTACTTATTTATTTATTATGTATACAATATTCTGTCTGTGTGTATGTCTGAAGGCCAGAAGAGAGCACCAAACCTCATTCCAGATGGTTGTGAGCCACCATGTGGTCGCTGGGAATTGAACTCAGGACCTTTGGAAGAGCAGGCAATGCTCTTAACCACTGAGCCATCCCTCCAGCCTCACACAAAGATGATTTTTATATTATTTATGAGTATGAAAGTTTTGCCTACATGTATGTATATGTATATGTGTACCATGTGTGCATATGCCTGATGCCCCTAGAGGTCAGAAGATGGCATTGGGTCCCCTGGAACTGGAGTTACAGATTGTTGTAAGCCACCATATGGGTGCTGTGAACCAAACCTGGGTCCTCTGCCTTCTTTGTATGATGTGCTTATTAGCAAATTCTCTTTTCCCAATATGTCCATCATAGTCCAAGCTTTAAGTGCTCTTAATTACTGAGCCATCTCTTCAGCCCCCAACTACTAGGAGAGTTTTATATGGGGGACTAGAGCACCAAAGGATGACTTGACCTTGTGTGTGTGCGTGCAAGGCTTTGTCCTGAGCACCATGTACATATGAAGCTGGAAAAGAGCTGTGCATGACAAGAACTGATCTGGCCATGGTGGCGAAAAGATGCACAGGATGCTC